ACATAAAAATGAACCATTCTAAGGACGGGATGGAGGCACTGGTATTTTTGAAAATCTTGTCCGATGATGTCAATGCTTATGTATTTATTTCTTAAACCTTTTTATTGTCAATTGGGTGGCCACATGTTATGTGATGTAATACTTCCTAATTAGTTCCCTGTTCAGCTTGGGAGCCAGTCTCTGTGGACTGCCTCTATTTAATGCTTTCAATGGGCAGTGAGCTCTGCTCCTGACGGGAAGGATGAGTCCAGTCAGAGGTACCTAAGAAGGAAGGGCCTGGCAAATGGCTCCTGGCAAAGATCAAGGCGGACTCTGTGGAACACTGTCTACTCGACACACATCGGGTCACGACGAGTTTGAATCCTCTCACGGCAACTGTTCCGTCTGTTCTTTGCTAAATTCCCTGGAGGAGAAGTCTATGGATCTGACTTGGGCACAGTGGTTCTTGACTATGGCTGCAAATTCAAGTCACTGGGGAAGATTTAAACAAATCAATGCAGAAGTTGCATCCCAGAATAATTAGACTAGAGGCCCTAGAGATAGAATGCAGACATGGGTAAGTTTTACAATCTTGTCTGATGATTTCAATGCTTAGCTAGGGTTAAGACCCACTGCTTAAATATTAAACTTATATTTTCTGCCTGGATCTGCTAGAATTTTACTTTTCTTCTTCATTTTGAAATCTTGAAACATTCAACAGGATATGTCTAGGTACCTAGACAGCCTCATTAATTTTGCCTGGTATCATTTGATTCAATAAATTCTACAATCCCCTTTCCTTTATTATTCTGCTCATGGCTTCCACGCTACACATTTTGTTTTCTGCTAATTAGACTTCCTGGATCTCTTTACTTAGTTTCTCATGTTAATTTATCATTTAGTCTTGCGATGTCAGCAGGAACGTTTACTTAGGTTCTGAGAAGCTAATTTTATTTTCTAGGGCATACACTCAGTGGTCTAGTAACTTGGACTAAGTTTGTAATCTCACAGCTGCACTTCGCGTTGTCACATCATCTTGTTTATCAGGATCTTCTTTTCACGAGTGTCTTTTTTTTGTGTGTGTAACAAATGCAAAATACATTTGAATCTTGTTGAGATTGTAAATGAGAAGTTGTCTAAAATGTCTTCCTGTTATATTTGCCATACACTCTCACGGATTCATTAGGATGGAGTCTCCTGCTTTTAATTGCATTATCTTGGGTTCATTATGCTTTTTATTTAGGGATTGTACAAAATAATCATCATTGATTCTTAGTCTTTTCTGGGTCGAAGGTTCCTGAAGACCTGATTGGGTTTTGGTCCTGTTCTCTGAAATATGGTAAAATAATGAATTCAATTTGCATACAACTTAACAGGCTAACTCTTAAACAATGTGATCTCTACTTAAAGGCTCAGGCACCTTCTCATCCCCCACTGCACCTCCGGGTACCCTCACTGTTTGGGTCTTGCCTTGTTGGAACCAAGTGTGCCGACCACTTCTATTTAATTCTTCAAATGGTTAATGTGCTTCACTGTTAATCAAAGTTCAGAATCATCTCAGAGGAAAGGCATACAATCTATGAAAAAATCTGTTGCCGGAAAACCTTATTTAGCCTACTGACCCCTTTTCAAAAAAATAAACCTCAGTGCCCCCTGGCAATGAAAAAAGTTTTGTACTATGACCCATAATACATGATAAGGTGTAGGTATATGCTTTTGCAATCCTCCCTGGATTTTCCAGCTCTTCCGGAAGGTGTTATCACCCACTTTAGGAAACACTGTTCTAACTCTTTCCTGAAAAGTTCCACATTATTCAACTAGACCATGTCAAAATGGCAGATTGGACATCCTTGAGAGACTGAAATCATGTTCCTCCTCAATGTTCTTTGAGTTTGGGGAACAAAATAAAATCCAAAGAGGTGAGATTAGGGCTGTTGTGGGGTTAGGATACAGTTTCCTGGTGAAATTATCCCAGAAAATCCCTTGCTATCCTTGAAGGATGTGCAGGCACAATGCTGTGGTGAAACATTTTTTCTTGAATTTTTGATAAAATTTCTTGAGAAAAATTTCACATTTCCTGACCTGTTTTATCATCAAAGCAAATTAAAAGTTTCTCAGAACTTCTTCCTAGTAAGTCTCTGTGATTCTTTGGATTCCCCCTGATGCCCCATACTCATCTCTATAACCTTCCGAGCCGACCTCTCTGCCTGAAATTTAAGTGGCCCAGTGTATCCCCTTGGGAGCAACTGTTTTGATCAGTCCTGTTTGGGGTCAGTGCTCTAATGGAACCAAAAAAGAATACTACTTGTATTACTGACAGAACTTGTCTGCAGCCATACTGTGGTGGCAGAGACATGTTGAACGATACTTTGTTTGGAATAAAATGGCGCATGTAAGAGCTGGAACCCCTGTAACAATATGTTCTACTTATCCTCACATGTTTGCCTTATAAACATTTTTTGTGTGTTCTTAAATGTTCTCCCTCTTCCATTTGCTCAGAGCTTTTCTTCAAAACCACTATTAGTCACAGAAGGAAACTTCATGATTTGAGCTTTTTTAAACCTATTTGTCTGTCTTTCTTATCTGTTTCTACTCTCTTGTTACTGGAAAAATTGAAAACTTTGTCCACTATAGTAAGGATTTCATTTTCTGAATGATAAATTCTGCTCTTTGGTACAGTGTAAAATTTCATAATGGTGTAATTAATTTCAAATTGTTCTTTCCTTATTCATCTGGTTAATTTTTAAATATCCATCTCTTAGCTAACTTCCTCTTCACATCTGTCACTAACCAACTTATCTTTTGTCACTCTTTAGAGTGTAAATGTACTTCCTAAGTTGTTGATTAGTAAAGGTTGCGTTTTCCAGGGAAACTAACACGTGACACTTTAAATACGTATTAGCAAGGACTGGACATCAAGAAAGAATTTTATATCAAGGATGCAGACCAGCTGAACCCAATTCCGTAGCTCAGATACTGGCCAAGGTCCTTCAGGCTGACACAGCTGCTTTGGAAGAAGCCGAAGGTGATGTAGGAAGCTGAGAGATCACAGACTTGTGGGTACAGAGTCATAGGGACCCAAGGTCTGCAGGCACACAGCATGGCACCAACAGCTGCCAGGATGGGTGGGCCACACGTTGCTGCTGGCCCTAGACCGGAGCTAGAGGACCCAGTGAAGTAGGAAGCACAGGGAGAGAGAGGGCTCAGTTGTCTTTAGGGTCTCTCATAAAAATGCCACACTCCCAAAGACGTGCCACCAGCCTGCAACCCGATTGATAGGCTGGACTCCAGTCATAGCCGTGTGTGTGTGTGTTTGTGTGTGTGTGTGTGTGTGTTAACATTCTGATGTTTATTCATAAAATTAATTGAAATTGCAAAGGCCAGTTACAGAGCCACGCATCCATCACCGAACAAGAGGGAAATGAAACATTCTAGACATCTCTTGAGAAAAGTTCCCAAGAAACAGGCACCAGGCTGGACATCTACTGCTCCACCGTGGTCTCACAGCTCCGCTCCTTCCTGCATGTTCTCAACAGGCCTTTCCTTGTATTTGCCTTTCCCTTTTCCAATCAATTCGGTTTTGTGTTCAAGACATTTTCCGATCTTTGTCCAACGTCAGCCTGGTGACAACCACCTTGCTTGGGTGAATGTCCACATGGACAGTTGGGCCATTGGCTTTCTTGCGTGGCACCCGCTCAGGGCAGATGACGTACTTCTTCCTGTGCACCTGGACCACCTTGTCGATTTGCTGGCCTTTGTAGTGTCCTCGAATCACCTGGACCTCAGCATCCTTGCTGATGGGCCTGGGGCACTAGTTATACTTCTGCTGCAGCTCCTCAGAGAGTGGGGACGACACGATCTTCCTGCGTAAGTTCAAGGGAGCATTAAAATGGCATTTGTGGTCACGAAGGGTTTGAGCTTCATGGGGACCATTAGGCATCTCCGATTATCCACGCGTGGCTCCGTTCATATCTTCTTTCAAGTGCCCAGATGGCACAAAAACCTAGTCCACCCTTGTCAACTTGGCACCTGTACACACTCCCCCACCACCACACACAACTTTTTAACCACACGATATCCTCCTAAAAAGACTCTAATACAATCATACTTGCACCGAACAAGATATAACAAACATGGAGACAACCAAAAATGCACCAGGCCCACTTACATCTTATATTTTATACGTGAACAAACAAAAATATTTGATGCCTAACAATTGCAGTTCTGTGAACAATTACCTACACCTGAATCTTATAATCCTGTCAACATCTTTCCTGAGTCTCTCTTCCCTAGAACCATTTGGAAAAGAGAAACCTATTCAGTGGGGATCCTCCTTTGTTCAACTTCTTTGTGACTAAAGACACCCATGAAGGTTAATAAGCCAGCCACTTCATGCCATTATCTCTCCCCACCCCACCCCAACTCATTTTGGATATGTAATTTCTAAATTGTTCATTTATATGAACCCAGTGGTCTGAGGAGACAAGCACGTTGTTTGATGTGAACAACAGTCTCTCCAGGAACCTTGTGTGTCATAATCAATAAGCACAGTCATATCTCGAGCAAGTCACCCATTAAGACTGCAAGCAATGTGCACCAGCTCACATGGTCAAATTTCTTTCTTTGCATCCAGTCATGATCTGGCCAATTCAGTCCTAGCCATTGAAGCTAGGTCATTGGGTACCAATAGCAAGTTGGTATAATGCACACACATCTCCCTCCACTTCAAACCACTGGCTCCTTCACTTGTTCTTACCAACACCAACCCCCTCACTCCCCTGCCCTCAGGCTAGTTTATGCCATAGGGTCAGGTTTGGCACAAGTTTTTAACTTTAGACCAGCCAGCCCTTCCTAGTGGCTCCTCTCTAATCCCCGTGGAACAGGTTTCACTGGCCAGACTCCACTTGTTTGTGCATTGCTGAGTCTCCCCTACTTCCACTCAGCAAGTGAATCCAGGTGGCCACTTAGCAAGTACCAAGCTTCTTACAGGCTCCCTTTAACTTTGATTTACATATATTTTTCTTTGTGTTCGCCTCTATGGATGACATGCCACAAAGAAGACACAGCACATCGGAAGTGCATTAAAGGGAAACGATACTGTGGCATGATATCTGGCTGTGTAGATTATGGATAAAAAAACAAAACAGTATTCAGCATGCGTCGCTTTAGCTTTTAGTCCCGTGGGTGGAGTGGTTGGGGTGGGGTGGGGTAGGGGGTGCTGTTCTCTGATGGACACAGACTTTTGCAGCCTAGTGCATCCGCAGATGGCTGCCTGCATTCACTCCAGTTCATAAAGCCAAACTGGTCACTCTTTCTCCTCTTTAGTCTTTTGGCAGTTTGGGTGGGTCTACATGTCTTTTCAAATACAAACCTACTGATGCTCAACGCCCTGGGTCGGGCATAGCTTTCCATCTGGGCACCTCACTCTGCAATGACTTCAAGCAAACACTTGTTTCTTCTGGACAATCTCTAATGCTCTCTTTAGCAACTATAATTATAAATGTTGAAGGCTTGTGAGTTTACAAGTTCTCTCTAGTCACAATTTCAAATATTCATTTCTAAACCCACATTATTTCTATAGCGGAGAGTAGGAGAAATCATATAATCCTAGTGCAACCAGATCTTAACCACATTAAAAAAAACACACTCAAGTTTAAAGTTCTCTTCGACCAGTGGTTCTCACCCTTCCTCATGCCATGACCCTTTAATAGTTTCTCATGTTGTGGTGACCCCCAACCATAAAATTATTTTCATTGTTACTTCCTAACTGTAATTTTGCTACTGTTATGAATCATATTGTAAATATCTGATATGCAGCATGTACTTCTATAGTTACAAGTTGAACATAATTAAAGCATAGTGATTCATCACAAAAACAATATGTAACTATATATCTGTGAAATATTTATTTCTAATTACAAATAAATGAAATTTTGTCTTGAGGCATGGTATAGCATGGGTAACAGTCTTCACACTGGGTACTCATACGTGGGTGTATCTGCATGTGGGTGGACCCACCTGGAGACTGATAGAGGAGCAGTGTCTCAGTTCCTAAGACCATCGGAAATATGTATTTTCCGATGGTCTTAGGTGACCCCTGTGAAAGTACCGCTCCACCCCCACAGTGGTCCCGGCCCCCAGGTTGAGAAGCACTGCACTAAGGCTTTTCTGACTCACGTAGCTGGCAGGACTGGGAAACCAGGAAGGCCACAGGCTGGCGGAGGCAGAGGTGGATGAGTCCAAGGTGAGCAAGTCAGGCTCATGCCGCAGAGTTGAATGACCCTATAGTCAGCAGGCAGTATGGCAGGGTCCCGATCGCTCCCAAGACTGGCAAGTATTCTCACAGTCCTGCTTAAACAGGAGTAGGCCAACCTGGAGGAACTTCCTTTCAATGAACTCAGGGCTATGACCTTATTAAGTAGAAGCACACTACCCTGCTTTCCACAGTGCTTGACCACTCAGCGAAGATCCTATCCTGAAATTGATTAAATTGTGTTAGATGATGGTATGGGCAAGACCATTCCGGCACGTGCCATTCCGTTCAGTCGTTTGTGCCATCCGTTTAGTCGTTCCTTGCCATTCCGTGCCATTCCGAAATGACTTACTTCTCCCCCGGACTCCTTGGTAGTCTGTCAGCGGGAGGCTCCTGTCGCCGTCCTTTCTTCGCCTCTCGCCCTCGAAGCCCGTACGAGCCCCAACATGCGTGAGTGCATCTCCATCCACGTCGGCCAGGCCGGTGTCCAGATCGGCAATGCCTGCTGGGAGCTCTACTGTCTGGAACACGGCATACAGCCCAATGGCCAGATGCCCAGTGACAAGACCATTGGGGGAGGGGATGACTCCTTCAACACCTTCTTCAGTGAGACAGGCGCTGGCAAGCATGTGCCCAGGGCAGTATTTGTAGACCTGGAGCCCACAGTCATTGATGAAGTTCGCACTGGCACCTACCGCCAGCTCTTCCACCCTGAGCAGCTCATCACGGGCAAGGAGGATGCTGCCAACAACTATGCCCATACCATCTATGCCAACAACTATGGGCATAGATGGTATGGGCAAGACTGAACGGAATGGCACGGAACGTCCGGGGGAGAAGTGAGTCATTTCGGAATGGCACGGAATGGCACGGAATGGCAGCCAAACACGGAATGGCACGGGGCTCAGCTATCTCTTTATCTATTTTTTCTTTCTTCTTTCATTTTTTCTTCCCCCCCTCTTCATCTATCTCTTCTCTCTTTCCCACCACAGTCTCAGCAGTTTCAATTTTTCTTTTTTGTTGATTTCTTTTTTTGACTCTGTTTTTACTTTTGTTTAGTAATTCCTCGCTGCTTCATTGCCCTTGATTAAGCCTCATAAGGCATCCTACGACCTTCCTCCCATTGATTTTAGTTCACTTGTTGTTCCCTTGTCCCTGGGTTGGTTCCCCGCACCCCACTTCCTTTCTCCAATATCCCCCCAGAACGACTGGTCTCGTTCTTTCCATCTCCGGATTCTTTTTCCTGCATTATCTACATAGACATGTGCAGATACATTAATAAGTGCAAAAACCAGAAAAAGCCAAGTAAAACAACAAAGGAAGTCAAAACTAAGAAAACAATAACAAAAAACAATAACACTGACAAAAAATGGGAAAAGCCTATAAATAGTTCAAGGTCTGTTTGATGCCCTTTAAGAGTGTTTTCCAGTCGAGTCCAATATGGTACCACACTCTGTCTCCAAAGTCTATTTTTGGTATTCCCTGGGGGTTCATCACTCTGCTCCTCCTGCTGCTCTGTTGCATGCCCTCAGTGCCTCACCCCAGTGTGATGGGGCAGACCATGTATCATTCCCGCATTATGTCTCCAGTGTTGTCCCCCACAGTGCCATGATTCAATGAGGGGCACTGTGTCCTGTGGTGGGGCCAGCCCTACAGTCCTCTCTGCACGTTGTCTGCTCTGAGCAGGAACATTGTCCTTGGGGCCTAGTGAGCCAGGAAGCAAAGGATATTTATAGAGGTCTAAAGACAGGCATGTGCATATGTAAGTATAGATATAATGAGAGTTCAATGGAACTATGTACTCATATTTATATGTTAAGGATTAAGGTTGCAGATGGACACTGGGCCTCAACTCAAGTACTCCCTCAATACAAGAACACTTTGTTCTAACAACCCAGCATTCTGTGATGCTCACCTTCCCAACACAATTGCTGAAGACAAAACAGGTGCATAAGCAAATGTGGTGAAGAAAGCTGATGGTGACTGGCTATCAAAAGATATAGCATCTGGGATCTTAAAGGCTTGAAGATAAACAAGCGGCCATCTAGCTGAGAAGCAACAAAGCCCACATGGAAGAAGCACACCAGCCTGTGTGATCATGAGGTGTCAATGGGATTAGGTATCAGGCTTCTAAGACCCAGAACAAAACTATACCCAAGGTGAATGGGGGTGGGGGTGAGGTGGCGGCATGGAGTGGAGACCCAATGCTCATCTGTAGACAATTGGACATCCCCTCACAGAGGGGTCACAGGGAAGAGATGAACCAGTCAGGGTGTAGTATAGCACCAATGAAACACACAACTTTCCTCTAGTTTTTTTATACTTTCTTCCCCCCACTATCATGACCTTAATTCTACCTTACAAATCCGATTATACCAGAACATGCACACTGCTACAGATAAGAGCCCACAACATAGGGAATACAGGATAGATAAACCCCTCAGAGCCAACAATGATAGTAGCAATACCAGGAGGATTAGGGGAGGGTGGGGGGAGAAAAGGGGAACCAATCACAAAGATGAACTTAGAACCCCCTCCCAGGGGAATGAATAACGGAAAAGTGGATGGGGGGGTTGGTGACAGAGGATGATGTAAGATATGAAAATAATAATCTGTAACTTATCAAGGGTTCCTGAGGGAGGGAGGGTGGGGGAGGGAGAGGGAATAAATGGGGAGCTGATATCAGGGGCTCAAGTGGGAAGAGAACGCTTTGAAAATGATGATGGTGGTGTATGTGCAAATGTGCTTGACACACATGAATGTATGGATTGTGATGAGATGTAAGAGCCCCCAATAGAAGTATTTTTAAAAAATACTCTTAAAAGACATTTCCTGTACTAATGTATAAAGCTAAAGAAAAAAATAAATCACATCTGTATGTATAAAACTCTGCCATGGAGTCTTGCACTCATAAAGATCCCACAGAACAGAGGAGACTGCTCCTCAGTCTGAAGCTATAAATCTTTATGGAAGCAGACTGTCTCATCTTCCTTCAGCTGGGTGGCAGGTGGGTTTGAACAGTTGACCTTGTGGTTAGCAGCCTAATGCTTAACCCACAGCACCAATAAGCTCCTATCTATCTATCTATCTATCTATCTATCTATCTATCTATCTATCATCTATCTAATCTATCTATCTTAGCTTGGGTTGACTAGAGAAACAAATTCAGTGACACTCATATATGTATAAGAAAGAGCTTTAAGTCAAGAAGCTTTTTATATATCAGGAAAATACCCCAACTCCTTCCAACTCAGGTCCATAAGCCCCATCCTAGTCCTTAAGCCCCTCTTCAGACTGATGCAGCCACACGCAACAATGCAGAATGATCACAGGCCGGTGGGTACAAGGTTGTGTGGATCCAATGGCGCAGCTCATCCCAGGGCCCTGGCCGGTTTCAGAGTGGCTCATGGCAGGAAAGCAAAGGCCGAGAGTGAGGGGGAGGTCCCCGGGATCCTCCTTATGAAAAGGCCACACCCACAAGGAGGCACCATCAGGCTGTTACTAGATTTTCAGGCTAGACTCCACCCCTACACTTGTATGTCTTCAAGTTGGCAAGAAATTCCTGACTACCACACTATCCGCCTACTGCTGTTAGGTGCTATCAGGTGGTTCTCATCATAGGGACCCTACGTGTAACAGACCGAGAGAAACACTCCCTGGTCCTGTGCCAGTCTCACAAGTGTTACGTTTGAGCCCACCACTGTGGCCACCGTGTCCATCCATCTTCTTGAAGGTCTTCTCCTTCTTCACTGACCCTCTACCAAGCTGATGCCCTTTCCCAGGGACTACTTTCTTCTGATAACATGTGCAAAGTAAAGGTAACGTCTAGCCAGGCTTGCTTCTAAGGAGCATTCTGGCTGTACAAGAGAGATTTGTTTGTTCTTCTGCAGTCTGTGGTATATACAGTAAATCACATTTCATGCACAAGTGATTCTTGTTATCTTCTTCATCCTCCAAACTCTCTACAGCTACTATATTTACTTTTATAGACAGAGAAAAAGAATGTTAAAGCATTTTGTAGTAGAAGCAATCTCATAGCTTAAAAGATGTACCTAGTAGTGTACTCTCTGGCACTTTATGAATTGAGTCTCTTGATGGTGCAAAGGGTAATGTGCTCACTGATAATCCAGAAATTTGGTGGGTCAAGTTAACCCAGACGCATCTTGGACGAAAGGACTGAAAACTCTACATCGGAAACACCAGCCCCAAACACAGGGGTGTTGAGCTCCGTTTTCCCCTGACTCACATGAGGTGGCCAGGTCTCAGAATTGAATTGACAGTAACCGGGTTGCTTACAAGGACAATGACTATAAAGATGACTGTAAAAAAAGAAAAAGAGAAATGAAACCCACCACCACCGAGTTCAACTCTGACTCTGAGTGACCCGGTAAGACCGGGCCGAACTGCTCCCTAGAAGTCCTCAGGCTGGAAACCTTTCCGGGAGGAGTTAGCTTCAGCAGCAGGTTCCAATGTAATCACAATTGCAAGGATGGCCCAGACTGGACAGTGTGTCTGGTTCTTTTGTACAGAGGATCACTTTGAGTCAGAACCAATCTCAACGCCCCTGACACCACCAACGACGATGCTGTTTGCAATTTTGAAAAAGAAACAAACTTCAATTGCCATTGAGTAGATTTTAACTCAAGGCGACTGCATGTGTATCAGAACAGAACTGTGCTTTACAGGATTTCCAATGTCTGATTTTTTATTTTTTTGAACTATGTCTCCGGACTTTTCTTCTGAGGCACTTCTGGGTCGTCTGGAACTTTTTGGTTAGAAGCCAGGCATAAGAGTTGTGTGCCAGCTAAGGCGTCTTTTAGTAATCTTCAAATTATGCTCAAGCTGCCAATCAAATCTCCTTTTTGCGTACTCACCTTGTTTCTGGCTGTTGTAGAGCAAAAGGGAAGATCTCCGTGGCGGTTCTTGGGAAGGACCAGACTCTAGGGGGCTAGGGGTCAAGGAGCAACTGCAAGAAGGTGAGGATTCTCATTCTCAGGTACCAGTCAGGGGTTCTCGACTCAGCTCTTCGTTTCCTAAACAGGAGTGTCCTCCCAGTGAGGATCTGGATGCTTCGGTGCTGGTGAGAGGTATTTCCCATCTGCTTACAGGTAGCTGTGGTGTGGGAGTCAGAAGCCAAGCGCCCCAGTATAGCATGTCTGTAGCTGTCACATGAAGTGGCTATTCTGTGGTTGCTAATTAAGTGACCAGCATTCATTAGCCGTTTTGAGTTCTGTCCAGTTTCAAAAATAACACACAAGCTGTTCAACCTCGTCCTAAAAGCGTCAGCTCCTACAAGCAGAGGTAGAAGATGCCATCGTTCAGGGTCCTTCTGAGTGACCCTTCCATGCACAGAACTTTCATTCACTCGATTGTTCCCTTCAATAGGTTCTCACTAACCGAGGTTATCTGAACATGCAGCCAGTTCTTTCTGAAGATAAGGAAGAACAGGAAACGTGCTTTTACATTTCTATATAATGAAAAAGGATGTTGATGACTTCTCTTTTGAATGCACAACGCTTCTGTCGCTGCTTAGTCAAACTACTCCACTCCACAAGAACAACAGGAGTCCTCGTGGCACACCGGTTGCTGCTAACTTCAAGGTCAGCACTTCAAACCCACCAGCAGCTCCATGGAAGATGATGCTGTCCACTCCTGTAAAGAGCTACAGTCTTGAACACCTTACACAGGTTTAGTGTTCTTAAGGAGCTCAGTTGGCATGGTGGTCCAGCCATAACCGGGCTATTAATTCAGCCACAGAAAATCCAGCGGTTCAAACCCTCCAGTTGTTATGTGGGAGGAAGATGAGGCA